ATTTCAAGCACACAATATAAATAAACATCATTACCAAACATATACAAATTCAAACCATATGTTAGAATCTTACTAAAATAGGCACACATCAGAAAATAAATTCCTACAAATCTTTCGATGCTTATTCGATACAAATTCCATGTCACAACATAAATCTTGACCTTAGCTCTTCTAATTAACCAATCAAAATCATTTTTATCCAAATTTCACATAACATCCCAACCTTTCTACATTTGTGATTTGAACCTCAACTTTTAGCAACTTTCCAAAATGACCCAATTTCACGTCCTAACTTCGATATCAACACTCAAACATTAATTTCCAAAAAGGTACAACAACTTTTTTTAAAAAATTACATATTCACATACAACTTTTCCATAATTTGCAAATGGGTCCCCTAACTTTCATAAAATTACAAAATAGTCCCCAAATATTTCTAAGGCTTGTTGAATACATCCTACATCATTTCCAACCCCTATATACTTTTTTCCAAAATTTTCTTCCTTATTCAAGCTTAGGTCGAATGCTTTAAAAACTCAAGACTAGGGTTTTTATGATTTTACTCTATTTTGATTATATTCGAACATGAAATCAACCTCTATTCAACCTTGTAAAATCTCTAAAATCAAATTCCTAATCAAATTTCATCAAAATAAAAAGTTCCCCTAAATTTAGGGTTAGGCCAAAAATAATATAAGCATTTCTAGGAGGTTTGATCATTATTTAATAATCAAACAAGCTTGGAAATGATTCTACAACCTCAAAAACATCAAGATTCATCATCAATTCCATAAACCCTAATATGAACATAAACCCTAGAATTTAGGATCTTTGAAACCAAGCAAGATTAACATGCATAAATGGTACCAAAAGATAGTGTTTTTCGCATAAAACAATTTTCTATTTCACGGCTCGATCCAAAACCCAAAGGAAATTGCACAAAAATGAGAAAAAAATTCTCTTACCTTGGTTGAGGTTCACGACTTTAAAATAGAAGATGAACAAGTCTTCCATGAATTTTTTGTGTAATTTCATGTTAATTTATCCTTTATTTAAGTTAAATGAATATTAAATTCATTTAATTGAGAATTGTCTATTGTACCATTAATGAATCCTTATAATTTACAACTATACCAAGCCATATAACCCTTATCATCTTTCTAAAGTCAAAGATGAAAAACATTTCTTACCCTTTACCATTTTATCCATGCAACTTTCGAAGAATTTTAAACTTGTCACTTTGATCCAACGGTTCAAATTAAACATGAAAATAAACTCTCAAATCCAATGGTGTATATTATTTTCCATCATTTTAAAATGTGGAAATAATATGTTTAAGCTTAATTTATCTTCCTTCAAATTTTCTCAAAATTTCTATTCGATCCGATTTACCAAATTTTTACCGGACTTTAACCCTTTCTAGTTTACACAATTTCTGGATCAAGAATTTTTTTTACATAAAACCCCACTCTCAAGAGTAAACTATCCATTTGTGGAATACAAATTTTTTTTGGTAAAATTACCACTTTGGTCCCTAAGTTTTTCACAAATTTATACTTTGTCTATTAAACTTTCAAAATTTATATTTTGGTCACTAACCAAAATTTGGGGTATTACAATAAGGCCCTAGAAACACCCGTAGAAGTGGGTTACAACTGAAGTAACCAAACTAAACGTAATATGTCAAGTATCTTCAGTCGAGCACATATTGAATAGTTAATAGTGAAGATCGTTATAGAGGATATATCGACAAGCAGTACAATAAGTAAGTCAAACTCAATATTATTGGAAACTGTTTTCTTCGAGAATTTCAGTGAACCAAGAACGTATAAGTTGTCCCTCCAACCCAAGGGATATTTGGGAAAAGTACGATAAGAGCGATTAGAGTGTTGCTACCCAGTAATGAACCCAAGTCAAGTATCGAGCTAGCTAGTGTTACAAGCAGTGAACAACAAACAAAGTAATCATTGTAAAATCACGAAATGCATAGATACATTTTCAGATATATAAGAGAATAAAATTCCCTTAAGTAATGAGTGACCATAATAGAGTTGTTTAATAAACTAACAACAGTAACAGACTAATAAACCTTTAAATAACATTCTAGGTGAGGGAACGAGCGAGATAACAACTAGTAAGAGGATGACCTCACTTTAGTATGTCCAACTATGCTAGGGTATAGCCATGCTACCTTAATTTCCCCAGTGGGGCATTGTCAGTGCGCGGGGCACTTCAATGGCCAACTAGGGCACGAGACCCAAACACTCACGAGGAGTGGGTTAGTGATATCAATGTTGTATGGACTTTGGGCTTTTAGATATGTATGTATAGTTATATTAGTCTAGTATAACAAATATCCTTAGAGCTTGGCTTGGCTGTGTGAGACCGAGCCAATGCTTCAGTTGAGCGGGAATTGTACTGATGCTATGTGACACCGAGTTCCCCCTCCATGATCTACCTAATAGTTATGTGAGACCAGGAGATCATTTTGTAGCTTAGTGGGATTTTCAGCGATACTATATGACACCGAGTTTCCTTAGTTAACTAGTGTTTGATGGCTATATGAGGTCAACTACTAGTCAGGGTTGCATTCAGTCAATGCATAACAGAGTTAGTGTTGCATTCAGAGTGTCAATGTCATATTTAGATCATGCACAACAGTTACAGTCAGTGTTGTTAGAGGCCCTTTAGAGGTATATCTATGGAGAGGCCCTTAACAAAGGATTAAGGGAAGTATGAGATTCCTACTTTTGCCATAGAACAGTTAAACCCTTAGCACTTGATTAAGATCATGTATGTACCTACTACTTAGTACCATGTCTTTAGCATGCTTGTGTTTATGAGACTCATAACGCTGTTCTAGATTAGCGATTATACTACATCTCAATAGCTTTATCCGATCGTGGAGCACCATTGCAGCATGACTTCCAGTATCTCCGTCAGAGCACTGTAGTGTAACTTTATTGGGCATATATTCATAGAACCTTACTCATGTATATGGTTTATTAAACTTTGAGTTTGTATTAGTTTGGTTTAAAAATATATCATGGCGCTTTGGTTTATAAAATGTTTTTAATAACTATCTTGTATGTCTATTTTACACCATGATGTATGTAAAAAAAGAAAATGATCATATTTTGAAAATCAGGAATTGTCTCGGTAGCCCAATGTGGCACTTTAGGTCCATTCGGGTTTAGGGTGTTACATCTGGGCTTAGACTTGTGGACTCAATTTCTAGACCATTAATGATATATTGTGACAATTTTGCTATTGTCTTTATGGCTAAGAATAACAAAAGTGGAAGTCAAAGTAAACACATCGACATTAAGTATCTAGCTATAAGGGAATGTGTTAAAAAAAGAAAGTGGTCATTGAGTACATTAACACTGAGCAAATGTTAGTTGATCCTTTAACTAAAGGCATGCCACCACATAAATTTAAGGATCAGGTTGTCACTATGGGACTTGTTTCCACTTTGTAAATTTTCATTGTAAGAATGATTTGAATGAAATTCTATTCAGTTTGATACTTCTCATTTTGTTTTGTGTGCATTAATTTTAATTTTTTCAAGAAATATCACTAAAGTTTGGACTTAAAATAAACATTGGATTTATTCATTAAGAAATTTGGCAAAGTGTTGAGACATGATACATTGTGATACATGGAAGATATTACTCAACTATAAGAGAAAATATCACTATGATTAGTGCATTGTGTTTTGACTTTAAGTGCTCATGGTCATTACGAACCAAGTGGGAGAATGTTGGTAGTTTCATGGTTCGTGGGAGTTAATTCCCATTTTCCACTCTCCCATTTCACTTACGTGAGATATGGGTTGAGGTAGTTTATGGTGGTTTTTTTATGGGGAACCACACCTATAAATATCCATCTAGCCAAGGTCCCTAAACATCAAACCAAAAACATTCAAAGCATTTCCACATATAGAGAGTTGGGAATTTATTCCATCTAGTGAGGTTTTCGAGTTCTTAGAAGATACTTGGCAGTTCTAGCTTTCGTGTAGTCAAGTTCGAAGTGCTCAACGGTGTTTGGTGATGGTCGACGGTGATTCGATGTATTTGATAGTGGTGCATTGAAATCTCGAATTTCAACATAAGGTGTAGGCAATGGCTGGAGGTATTTATAACGATCTTTTCCGTTGCGTTTATGATCAATGTATGAAAGCATAACTAACAGTTTTTTGTTTGCCATCATCACCTCCTTAGTAGTGGTGCTAATATTACGCCAGAGGGCGACACCATCATAAACGAACTCATCTGGTTCAAAAATCCTTTTGCATCGTACTGTCCACAACCTCCAAATGATGGTAACAAACTAAATCACTGCCTCTTATGTTTGCTTTGTGAAATTAATGTTGTCTAAAAACCAACTTTTCATATCATAAGAACAGAAGATCCCATGCAAAGTACTAGGGATGCATGGATTCCAAATACTTTGCGCTTGGGTGCAATCCCTCAAGATGTGACTTAAGTTTTCCCAAGGACAACCTCATATGTGACATGCATCCCGCCGAACTTATCATCCCCCATGAGACCCGACGAGCATTTGTTACCAATCTATCACGCCACACCAACCAAATAAAATATTTTCATCGAGATGGGATTGACACCTTCCAAATTCAAGATAAGTTCTCCTTTCCATCTTTCCCAAAACTGAGATTAATATATGTCGAACAGGTTGTGAAGACCCCATTGACAGAATATTTCTAGCAGTACGAGTCTTGAATGGATGAGAATCGAGGGATCGGGTAACCCAAAACTTGATTTGCCACATCCATGGGAAGTTGAGCAAATATTTTCTCCAAATGCCACGTCCTCTCAACTGTTATGATTCACTAACCTTGATAGATTCTGCCACGAGGGTGGGAGAGACATTTGATATTGACATATGGGATGTCCCAACCAAAAATGTGAAATTTAACTATCCAAAAAATCATGTACAATCAATCTCAGTCCTCAGAACATGCAAAACCATACGTAAATATTTTTCTTGCTTAAAATAGACATGAATTCTACCTTTAAAATACTCCTTACCTTCATTCTTGTTCTTCAGACCAGCCAGGAAAATAAAAAATATATATATACAAAATCACAAACAAAATCCTTAGGTTTTGTTCTCGTCTCACCACTCGATAAGCTTATTCTTCAATATCATGGACATGAAGAAGATCTCATGTGCCGTCATTGTCACCGCCACCTCCATGAGCGCATTCGTGGCCGCTGGCGGCCCGTTTCTGCCCCTGCCTCAGCTCCTACCCCGAGCCTAGATAGCTGCGTCGCACCCACCATATTGCCTGTTCTCGGGTCCTGAGTTGGAGCCTCCCTTGTTTCTTTCTTTGCTTTCTATTTGCAGTAAGCTAGAAATATCAGAAACCATAGAGTACCTAATAATTCATTGATTATTCTTTTTGAACTTCGTTTTGTTTGTACATTTCTGAAAAACATGAACAGAATAACGATATTATAACTTTTTAAAATGCAGTTATCCAATGATAAACTTCAACATGTATAATGAACATATAATTTATCCAAATGATAATGACAAAATAATATAATAAACAAGAAAAAAAATGCAATAAATACAAGTAACACATGTTATACAAAACATAGCAAGCTTTATCTATCCATAAATCAGCATTTCTTATTCAGAACAATCCACAAATTATATTTGTTTGTTTTCTTCTCTCCAAGCAAACCAGTCTCACATTTATAGATAAATAAGATGCTGGTTGATGTGCAGCAATCACATACAGCACCCTAAAAAAATAATTTTTTGTCACTCCTAATTAAAAGTTCAACGGATTCCGCATCTCAGAATTATGCTTCGAAATTCTTACCAAGAGACCATATATCCGATTTGTAGCCATAAGGTATATCTACGAGGAGCTCAGGACACATATAGTTGGGTGTGCCAAAAACCTATTGAGAATATGCAGACCATATAAGATCATCAGAATGAATCCTTAAAACTGGTTTTCAAAAATTCTATAACCAAAAGTTTTTTGTCATTTATTAACAACAGTGTTTTTTCCGCACTCAAACACATTTCATTGCATCGAATGACTTCTAAGACAGGTTTTTAAAGAAAACTTTCAAAGAAATTTCATAAAAGGAAAATATTAGCACAAGTGCATACCGAGGAAGCAAGGTCTTCCGTGTTAAGTAATTTTGTCCAAAGTCACCTGTAAATTCCATATAAGACATACATATCTTAGAAGACAAAAAAAGACATCCAAACCTAATAAAGAGAACACAGTCCCTTTCTAGAAATCCGTTTGCCTTCATACCAAGCCGGATGTCATTTTCCTTCATTGAGGAATATGTTGGAACACTGGGATTAAATGGAAGTTAGAGCACAGCATCATCATTTATGAACTTTCCTCGCTATAGGGATGAAGATAAAGGCATTACCTTCAGATCCCAATGAAGAACACGATCTGAGTGCAGGTAGTCCACGGACAACAGCAACTAAGTCATCCATTTGCATATTTTCTAGAAACCCAGAGAAAACAATTAAAGGTGAATAAAATCTCTAGCAGGTGCACGTAAGTAGTTCAGCCGCAATAATATTTCTATTACCTCCTCGGGAAAGTGAATACCTCTGGCCTTCTTAATAAGCTCAGCCCTTATTCCAACAAAAATTTTAAGTGCCCCAGTTAGTGCTTTACAAGAATCAGATTGAATTTGCTATTTTTTTTCTCCTAGTGGAATTCCAATTGTTATTTAGTTACATTATAATCCAATCAAAGTTGAGGAAAATGATACATATCAATATAACCAACTATAAATCCCACCCATCAATTCGAGACTGCTTCTGTTGAAAGGTTAAAAACATTAAGATAAGAATCTGCAGTTTTTGGCCAATTTGCCAAAGTAATTTATGTTACATCTACAGTTGACAATAGCAATGAGAAATTATGTCGACTCAAAAATTATGGAAGTTCTTAACTCACAATAAAAGGTCTGATTTATAGTAATGCAGTCTCTGAGCATAAAAATTCCCTAGAATGTGCATAAGATGGTCAAAGAACTTGCATATTCCTACAAAAATATGATAAAAAAAGACTCCGTTTCAAAGGTAACTTACATGTCCCCTCCTTCACAGTAGTTAGTTACAATGCTTATACAGTTTCCCTGAGAAGAATGAAGACAAATTAACAAATCACTGACGAGTTAATCGTGTCCTCAGCAATATAAATTATAATATTTTGTAGAAGCTCTTTCATCTAAAGAGAAAATCTAAAATAGTCATAAAGTCCACCTTATCAACCCAAGCATCTTTGTACTCCACAATATATGGGCTGTTCAATTTGGAAATCAGTTCCATCTGCCATGCAAATAAAATAAAAATAAAGAACATAATGAGAAACACATTATCAAACATGGACTGCCTAGAGATGAATTAAGGTTTCTTGGTTAGCGATATGAAAAAATTACTACATTCCAAAGAATGAGATATCCAGACATCTTTGGCATCGTTTCACAAGTGATTTTGTGGATTAAGTGAAGTTATATTTTACTCAACCAAAATAAATCCTTTCTGAATCAATCAAAGTGAAAAAAAAATAAAGATTGCAGGCGGCGGGCGGAGCCTTCAGAGTGGCAAGAAGGATGGGACTGGTAAAAGGAGAACTCAAGGATTCAAAAATCCCATAGTAGATAAAGATTCACAACCAAGGGTCATCACATTACAAAGTTTGATTGTTGAAAAAAACATAGACAACCATAATCAAACCCAAAATTCTAGAATCAGGATTTCATTTGACCATGAGAATTTGAACACTAAGAAAGATTAATGAATGAAATTTGACCATGAGCATATGAGACAGGAAAATCCAAAAAAATGTTATGTGGATAATTCAACATGAAAATATTAGGAATAACCCCAGCTACTTTCACACAACTCACATGTTAAACAAAAATGATGAGGAAATATGTTAAGAAAGTGACCTCTTGGTGTGCTGTTTAGCCAGGCGAATTTTCTTCAACACATACCTAACATATATGGAAAATAAAAACATATCATAACTGCTAGCTTCAGTCAATAATTGCTAAAAGACATGGAAACAGTGTTGACAGCTGCAATAATGAAATTAAGGCCACATATCCAGTCAATAATTAGCTTTGCTGCATAAACAGTCACAAGAAATATTGATTTTTGCATTCCAGAAATTCTTGAGTAAGAACAGAAAAATCAAAGAACAATCTAAACATTAACAACCACATGGGAATTTCTCGTTTAGAATAATTGTTTCTTTGGGAAGAATAAGATTTTATATCAAAGATTTCCTCAAAGGTTTTCAATTGGGGGGAAACAGCAAGAAAAAACAAAATGGGTAGAATACGTACTTGACTTTCTCAAGTTTATGGAGAACAAGGAAAGCTGCTCCAAAAGCTCCTCTTCCAATCTGTTCTACGACTTCATATTCTTCCATCTTGGACTTTCCATCACCATTATCAATCTCCAATGGATACCTTCAAAAGACCAAAGATAAAAATCCAATCTTTTATTATTCAACAAGGACAGAAACAAATTTCAGAAATCACACCTAAAACAACCTAATAAGCAAAGAGAAAAAAAAGCTCCGAAATTTGATTGCAAGGCAAAGAAGTAGCAGCAAGGAAATTCGCAGAAAAAGGCAAAAAAGGGAGAACTAGAGAAGTTGAGTAAAATTTTTGAAAAGGATGAAACCTTTGACACTATTGAAGCTCTACAAGAAAAAAATGCTATGATCTTAAAGGAAAGAAAAGAGAAACACCCAGGGTTGAGTAAAGCTAAAATATGAGAATGACGATATCAGAGTGGGATTATAAGTGACGGAGATAGAAGTGGATGGACAAACAATAGTAAAAGCAACAGCCATCCTTAATTAAAAAAAATAAATTAGTTAAAAGGGAGATGACTTACCAAAATAACAGCTTAATTGGAAATAAAATTAAAAATGTACCATATAAATGGAAAAAGAAAACACAGAATGGGAATTAAATCAAAGTGAAAGGCAAAAAAGCTTTGCTTGCACATCCAGATTCATGGGAGATCAGTAACACCAGGGAATGTTTTTATAGCATGTAGTTGTGAAGTCGCCATCTTTCCAAAGGAAAAAAAAAGTCATTTCACCAAAAAATAACCCTATTAAAAACATATTACCTATCAAACACCTTTCCTAAGTATTTCCCGATCTAACACCTTTTTTTCAGGAGAGAGAAGGAGGTGCACGGTAGGAGATGCGACTTAATCGAGGGAGGGGAGATGTGACTTAATCGGGGGAGGGAAGACGCGTCTCATGAAACACACATTCCATGGGTTTTATGAATGGCGCGTCGTACGGAATGTGCCTCTCATGCCCAGTTTAGGATTTTATGTTAAAGTGATTTTAGGGTTTTGTAATTAGTTTTAAGGTATTTTTAGTGGTTTAGGGTGTTATATTTGTATGGTTTAAGTTTTTAAAGAATTTTAGGGTTAAAATTGATTGTATGCTAGAATGTTTGTGTTTTTAAAGTAGGGTAATGTTAAAGTTGGTTGTATGTTAGATTGTAAGAAATAAATGTTAAACATTTAATTGAAAAATTATATAGATAGACGAAAGAGTCATCTTGTAAAATAAACAAGTTGAAATCACATTATTTAAAACTAAAAGAAAATCAAATAACATAAGTTGAAACATTAGAAAATATGATTACATGAGTGGTGGTCAACGGTTACGTGATGATGAAAGAGATGGACAGTTTCTCCTATTGTGGTCGGGATTTTTACAATGGCCACATCTTAAGTTTTATCTTAACGTCTCTCGAATATCCATATCACAATGAATTCAAGTGGATTTTAGACGACCTGGCTCCTTTAATAAGTTCTGATCTGGTATAATTGAAAGCCAAGTCTGAACCTCATTAGGGTCTTGTCGAGACGTTTCTATGCTCTGGCGATGGAGAGTGCAAATAGTACACTTCAAATGGTGTAACTAGTCTCGAGAAAAGTAAGTGTTTATCCTCCATGAATCAGATAAAACATCAAATTGTAGAATCACCACCAATCTTTTAATTCGATGAGATTGGTCACCAAAATGTCATATTATTCTAATAAAATTTCCTTAGAATAATATTAAAATAATACAACTCGGGTCTTCTTACCAGAAAAATGAGTTCGGGAGTTGGTTACGTATGAGGAAGGATTAACACCCCATAACGCCCAAAAATTAGTATCGAGATTTATTAATTAGTATCTTTGCAGTAAATGATAAATTTGTATTTAAACTTAAACTTACAAATAATAAATAATTACTAAAAAATATTTAATATAAAGTTATCTTAATATATAAAATATACTAATATTATAATTGATATTATAATAATAAGTACTGATTAAAATATGAAATATCAAAATTAATTAATCTAATTTCGAAATAATATTAAAATATTATACTAAAAATGTAATTTACCCTAAATTATAATTCGGGACTAAAATATAATTTAACCTATATATATATATATGTATATAAATGTAGTAAGGACTAAAATAAAATAATTAAAATACGAAACTAAAATTGAAATGCGCAAAACCTGATTTTGGTGATCAAACATGAAGAATACAAGGCTTGAAGGACCACAGGTGTAATTTACCCGTTTATAGAATTACACACATAGTCATTCCCCAAAATGATGTCGTTCGAGGAGGATATTTAAAGACCCTAACCGACCCAAAAGGGCCAAAATCTCTCATTTCTTCTCTCTCTCTAGATGAGAGAGTCCATTCTATCTGCCCTCCCTCTACATCCTCCATCGGAGGGGAGGCCGGTCACCAGCCGGCCACCCAGAGCCACCGTCCGACGCCGCTACCGACCACCACTCACGACCACCACTCACGGTGGCCGGAATTTTAAAAACTCTCCCAAAACGTAGATCGTAGTACCCCCTACCCGAATCCAAGCCTCTCATTTGCTAAAAGTTGGTAAATCAACCTAGATCTACAATTTTACCTTCGACTTTTCAACTTTCCGATGACGTTGAGGACTCTTCGGTAAGTTATTCTTTTTATTCTTTTCGGTTTGTTGCTGGCTATTGGTTGCTCGTACCACGTTTTGGCTTGTTATTATTGCCTCGTATAGCTCTTTTCCTTTGTTGTTCGTTGTTCTCGCTCTCTTGTTGTTGCTGTTGTGTTTCCTTTGCAGGTGATGAGGGCTATTTATAGTCCTCCAAGTTCGGTGTAATGATGACCCTACCCGGTGAGTCACCGGAGCTACGGTGGTGACTCACCCTAGGGTAGGGAGGTGTGCAGTTCATATTGTTCTTATGGGTTCTTCTATTTGAGGCGGTGGAATTTGATGTTGACAGCGGCAGTGGTTCAAAATCCTTGGAGGCGGCGGTTGCTAGGGTGAAAACCCTAGCTGATGAAAGATCTGGTCCCTCAATTTCTATCTTGATCGAACGGTTGTGAGTAACTGGCGGCGCTGGAACAATTGGTGAAACCCTAGAGTGTATGGGACTCCTCACAGGCCTGCTGGAATTGGGTTTGGACTGGTTCTGGGCCGAGTATGGGTCTGAACCGGGTCAACATCTGTAAACGGGTTCCGGGTTATATTTGTAATATTGGGCCCCGGGTTATTTTGTATTTGGGCCTTGATTTTTTTAATATTTGTAAATATAATAATATATATAATTAATATATTATATATAATAAATATGTAAGATAATAATAATAATATATTATTATTATTATAATAAAAAACTCAGACAAAAATGACTGTCGACAGCTGCCATTCTTTGCTTATTTTTGTGTTAACAAGAATAAAACAAAGATAAAAAAGACAATAAGTTTTTGTCTAGTTGACTATAAATTTTGATAAAAATCTGTTCCACTACTCTTCCGTGGAGACTGGAATTAAATAGTGTAAACATCCTGCCCCAAAGGTATGACGGATGGCCCTAAGGACTTATCATCTTGCTCGAAAGACTGACAAATGACTCGAAGGATTTAAACATCATGCTCGAAGGACTAACAGATGACCCGAAGGATTTACAAAATTCGTGATAAATAATTTACTGAGTAATAGACTTCTTACTTTTCAAAATTTTGATTTTCTAGAACATTAAATGAGAAACTTTGAAAATCGCTATCTCATTTTCATGCGAAAATCATATGTAAACATCCTACCCAAAGGTTTGACAGATGGCCCTAAGGACTTTATCATATTGTTCGAAAGACTGACAGATGACCCGAAGGATTTAAACATCATGCTCGAAGGACTTACAGATGACCCGAAGGATTTACAAAATTCGTGATAAATAATTTACTGAGTAAGAGACTTCTTACTTTTCAAAAATTTGATTTTCTAGAACATTAAATAAGAAACTTTGAAAATCGCTATCTCATTTTCATGTGAAAATCATATGTAAACATCCTACCCAAAGGTTTAGCGGATGGCCCTAAGGACTTTATCATCTTGCTCGAAAGACTGACAGATGACCCGAAGGATTTAAAAATCATGCTCGAAAGACTTACAGATGACCCGAAGGATTTACAAATTCGTGGGAAATAATTTACTGGGTAAGAAACTTTCTTACTTTTCAAAAATTTCATTTTTAGCAAAGTTTAAATGAGAAATGTTGAAAATCGTGTTCTCATTTTTCAAAATAAATTTTTGGTTGGGCATGCCCCAAAAGTAATGGTTCCTCTGTGGATTGCATCCATCTATTCTTTAAATGTTTGCTTCTCTAAATGTGCTTCATGTTTCGAATTCTATTTTACATTTATAAGGTATTTTGTTACTGTATCTTCGTGTAAATGCAATCAAATGTATCAATGTAATGCATGATGAATGCAAATAATGTTCCTATGAATGCATGAATGTATCAATCTTCATTTAACTCCGAAGTTTTGATATTTTTCTTCTTTTTTTTCAGGACTATATTCAAACAGTATAACAACTTATGCTATAAAACTGGCATTTCTGAAGAATCATCTGATCAACTTGTACCTTGGTGTCTCCTTTTACCTTTAGAAGAAATGTTTCATTTATAAGATTTTTGCCATACTTAGAACTATGACCTTGTTGCCCCACTTTTCTTGATAAAACCAACTGTCTTTATTTGTACTTGTGTAAAAATCTGATAAAGCTTCCGTCTTTGAAAAGAGAATCTATCATTTTTGAAAAGCGATATATATGTTAAACTTAACAGAGATCAATCAGGATATTAGCCACGTCTGTTCTGATTTGACTCTTGCAACACATTACAAGAAGGATTTATCCTAATTCCTTTCACGTCTCCACATCTAATCAAATCTATTCACAAGAAGGATTTTATCCTAATTCCTTTCACGTCTCCTCCTCTAATCAGATCTCAAATAAGGTTATTCAAACCATATCATGTCAAGATATTTAACAACAATCCATTGTTCAATCTTAGTTGGCTCCACTAGTTTCTTGTTGTTAAAGTTCTAACGTTCATTCGTGGAAAGAAATCTTCATCATTTCTTATCTCTGACCTTGGGATTGAAAAAGACAAATTTTATCTGAAAATACCACATGATCATAATATTGGTTAAGCACCATAATTACTGGTTCGTAACACATTTGACAATACATTTATCCTTTCATGAGGTTTCTACTTAGATTTCTCAACCAGGGAACTCTTTTCATGATGTTCAGAGATTTTATATGATGTCACAATGATATTCCAATAATAATACAATTGAGATCATATTTGGGAACATTTGACAACACATTCATCTTTTCTTGTGGCTTCTGTGGGGATAATGCGATCACATGGTGGACAGAATAGTGATGTATGGTC